TCATACACTGTTATAGTGCTGCCGTGCCCTCAAAGATGTATTCATGTTGTCATAGATTGCTGGTCTGTTTTTCTGCTCCTGTTATGTGGCGATGTGGAAAGTAACCCTGGTCCCGAGATAGAACAAATGTTGAAGGATATTATGCTTCAGTTAAAAGAGCTAAAGGAAGCGGACACAAAGCGCGATGCCACACTTTCTGAGGTAAATGCGAAGCTGTCAAAACTAGACGAGGTTCTGAAAATATCGAAGGAAAATGAAGAAAAGATACAGAAGCTGGAAGGAACAGTACAGCGGTTGGAGAAGGCTTTGGCTGAGCAGGACCGGAGACTGAATGATTATGAAAATCGTTCACGCAGAAACAATGTAGTCGTCTTCGGAATTCCTGAGGAACCAAAAGAAACTAGGCAGGATCTAGAGGATAAGGTTTTGCGTAAGGTTTTCGGCGAAAGACTTGGTGTTTCCGTCAGGTCTGTAGAACGAATTCACCGAATAGGAAGGCTGCAAAAAGACCGCCACAGGCCAGTTATCCTCCGGCTGTACGACTACAACGAAAAAATGGAATTGTTCAGGAACTGCCCAAAGCTCAAAGGTTCTGAAGTGTCAATCTCCCACGATTATTCTCAAGCCACACAGCGCATAAGAAATAAGTTGTGGCAATCTGGATTACAGGACAAGCGTACTGGTGATAAGATGCAATTGGTGCATGACAAGTTGTTTCTAAACGATAACGTTTATGGGTGGGACGACACAGCTGGTCGCAGGGTGTTTCTACGTAAGTCTTCCCGCGCGGAAAAATGACAAACCCAAAATAAAACTGAGCATGCGCAAAAGGCTTTCCGATTGCTGTGCCTGAATGCCCAAAGTGTATGCAACAAGCAAGAGCAACTCGAACACCTTTTGCTTTCTTACGACCCACACGTAGCAGTAATATCGGAGACATGGTTGCACCCTCAAATTCCAGATAATTGCATATTTCCTCCTTCACACACATGTTATCGGAAAGATCGCCAAACAAGAGGGGGCGGAGTTGCTATCCTTGTTAAACGCGAGGTATCGTCCGTTTCCTTGCCTGATGTTAATAGCTGCCACGAAAGTGTTTTTTGTAAAGCTGTAATTGCTGGTAACCCTATTATTATTGCGGGAGTCTATAGGCCCCCTGGCGCCCCACCGGCTTTCTTGATAGACCTGTACGAGCACTTAGAAAAATACCGAAATCAAAACATCATTATTGCAGGTGATTTTAATATGCCAGGCATGCATTGGGAATCGATGAAATGTGGTTCTATTGATGTGTAGAGTGCTGAAATATTACTAGACATGTCGCTTGCTTACTCTCTTACGCAAACAGTCCTTGATCCTACACGCGTGACAAGTTCAGCTTCTTCAATACTAGATCTCGTTTTCTGTTCCTCAAGTTTTGAATCCTGTATGGCAACAGTTTTAGATGGCATTTCTGATCACAAATTGGTCAATTTCAATTGTTCTTTACCTCGTAGAACAAGGTCATCTAGACCTGAGCCCGTAGTTGTAAAACAGTATTCTGCTGCAGACGATTTCCAGATTGTTCACTACCTAGAAGAAGCTTTGCTATCATTTTGCGACGGCAGTGTTAACTCGCTATGGACACGATTCAAATTTTATTGCCACTTCTGCATTCGCAATTTCGTTCCAGATAAACTTAAAAAAGTTGGCCGTACAAACCCCTGGATAACGCGCGATCTAATTCACCTAAAACGCAAAATTAAAAGGCGAAGAAAGCAAAAAATAGCTAATGATGTAGTTCTGCACGATCTAAGAGATACTTTAGCATCCAAGTTGAAGGAGGCTAGGGAACATTATTACACCGAGACACTAGGCCACTTTGCGGCAGAGAGTCCACGAAAATTTTACCAGTTCTTGCAAAACAAAGACAACCGTATCCCTGATGAAATAATGAACGGAGAAACCACTGTCACAAATAAAAACGAAATAGCAAACGCATTTAATTCCTACTTTCAGAGCGTTTTCTCAAGACCACAAAACTTGAGTATTATGACGGTGCCAGGTCCTTCAAGCCTAATAAATATATCCTTGGAAGGGGTGACAGAACTATTATTGCGGCTAGACGTAAAAAAATCGACCGGCCCTGACGGTATACCAGCTGTTTTTCTATAGAGGTATGCTGAAATTATAGCTAGATTCCTAGTAATAATATTTGATGTTTCGATTAAAACTAGTTCAGTACCCGACGATTGGCTGCTAGCACGTGTAATTCCGGTATTTAAGAAAGGTAACAGATTATTAGTCAGTAATTATCGACCAATCTCCCTTACCTGTATTTGTTGCAAATTACTTGAACATATTATAGCGAAATATTTAAATACTTTTCTTGAACAAAATAAAGTAATTCACAGCGCGCAACATGGCTTCCGACGGGGATTATCTACCACCACACAATTATTAGCAACTGTTAACGAGTTCTCCAAAGTTCTGGGCAAGTCTGGACAGGTTGATGTCATCTTTATGGACTTTTCCAAGGCCTTTGACAAGGTCCCGCATATCAAGCTAATAGATAAGATGAAGGTTATTGGCATTCCTCCGGAAATAATTAACTGGGTCATAGCATACTTAACGAACAGAAAACAGTACGTAGATATAAACGGTTTCACCTCTGGTTATTTGGGGGTGTTATCTGGAGTCCCGCAAGGGTCAGTTCTCGGGCCTATACTATTTAATATTTATATTAACGATTTAGTTCAAGCCATCCGACCTGGCGTGTCTGTTAAGTTATTTGCAGACGATTGCATAATTTTTAATACCATAAATTCTATCTCTGACCAGCATGACTTGTGTGAGAACTTAATCTACATAAAAGAATGGTGTAAGAAGTGGGAAATGGTAATTAATTTTGAGAAAACTGTATATTTATGTCTGAGTAACAAAATCCGAAAACTGGAGTTTACTTATAATGTAGGTGGATACGCTATCAGGCAAGTAGAAGAATTCAAGTACTTGGGCGTAACGATTACATCGAAGCTTACCTGGACAGCACATATTGATGATATATGTTCTGCTGCCAGGAGAAAATCAGGCTTTCTAAAATATAAATTGGGTCGTTCTTCTAGTTCACTAAAACTTAGAGCCTATAAAGTCTTAGTTCGTCCTTCTCTTGAATATGCCAGCATTGTGTGGGACCCCCACACAGCTGGTAATATACAGAAAATAGAAAAAATACAACGATTAGCTGCTCGATTTATATACAACCGGTATAGATGTCGCGATTCGCCGTCAGCCCTGTTGCAGCATGCGAACCTCCAACTTTTGGCCGATCGAAGGAAAACTGCACGACTTAACTTTTTCCGCCTTTTATACTTTTCCAGATCAGGATTGCACGCACCAGATTACATAACACAGGACACAACCAGGTCTTCACGTCATAAACATAGTCGTAGCATTACACCTATATTTGCACGCACTAACATTTACAAGTATTCATTTTTCCCGAGAACTGTCTCTGATTGGAATGCTCTGCCCCATGATTCCCCTATGCTCAACACGCCGAGATGAAACTATACCCTTTTTTTGTTGCTTAAGTCTGCTTCTTTGCCTGTATTTGTCCCTTGTTTTTCACGAGTTTTTAATGTACATGAATTTTGTTCTGCAGCGAATGTATACTGCAGCGGAAGTGTATGTGGGTAGAAGAATTTTGTACTGTATTGCCCTCTCCTGCATGGACCATACTTGGTCCGCAGTATGTGATAAATAAATAAATAAAATAAATAACACCTGCCGAGATTCCGCGCGCCAGTGAACGTGACCGTGCCCTTACAATCAAAATCGCAAAGCTGCCGCTCAAGCGATTCTGGCCTTGATGAAACCAAAACTATAACCATTTCAATGAAATCGAAAAGCAGATGTTTCAGCGTTGTTTTGGGGGCTTGATGGCTGTTGAATCTTGTGGCTAAGTACAGCACTGAGTTTGGCACAACAGTGGTGGTTTGGCACATGTAAAAAAGTTTGGCGCACTATGGCATGAATGGTGCAACTGTTCCACCCTTGTAAGCGACAGCCTGTAAAATATGCTAGTACTTTTTAAAAATGGCTATACTTAGAGAATATAAAATGGTATAACAAGCTTGTAAACTGAAAAATAAATAGATGTGAGGGTTATATCCTCATTAAACGTAGGCATGGGACTTCGCGGCAATGCGAATTTCCTCTCAATATGTGTTTTCATGGCTTAGCACCACTCCACTGCCATGAAACCACTTTCACAGGATGCCACATTCTGACTAATGTGCATTTATTTGTTCGTTTCAAATAATTCCAAATTTTCAATAAATTACATTCAATTCAAAATGAATTTTAATAAAGCATTATTCACATGAAAATTCAAAAAATTAGAATACTTAAACGTGCCTACTCACATTGATTCATTTCTTTAAGTATAAAAGCTTATTATAGCGGCTTATATGCTCAAAGTATTGTAAATATCTTTAAGTGCAACATATTTTACAGGTTACCACTTGCGTTCTAAGTTTAATCCTGCTGCTATGCAAAGTTTTTTGCACTTTCTGTGAACCAAAAGGAATTGCATCAGCGTAGGCCTTGTTTCAAATTCTTAAAAATATTGTGCAGGTTAATTGGGTCATGACAAATACGTGCATTTTTTACAATATGTGATATATACTGTACGAATTCAATTCAAAATTATTGGACCAAAATCACTATTCACTTTGAATTCGCTTCGAACCTGAATTTCCCTACTTGCACAAGCATATTATTCACCGTCCAACCAGCAAACTCTGAATGCATTGTTGCTGAAAGGTATCAAAAAGACACCTACGATCATTTATTCTAACCCCACTCTGCACAGTTGAAAACGTTTGCTCAAATAACGCTCGTGACCAGACTTGGCATGTTCGCAGCGCGGTGTAGCCACACATCACAGCATGATTGTTGTTGCCACAGCGCTATGCAGCTGCACTGAGAAACAATAAACATGGAACGAAATGACCCACCTCAAACTCCTCCCAGAAGCCTGCCTTCCCGCTGTTCTGACCATTCTCCTTGGAGAGCTGCTTGACGCGGTTTTCAATGGTGGACGCCTTGATGCGGGTGGCATTGAAAGGCTGCTTGAGGTGCACCACCGTACCCGTAGTCTCTACCATTGGGTTCTTACGATAGAAGTCCACCAGTTCACTCAGGCTGTCAAACTTCTCGCCACCACAGGCATCAAATTTTCCTTCCTGTAAGACACTGCTCGTTAAAAAAAGGTTTTTGTGTGTGCATGTGTGCCAATTTTAATAAAGCAATTATTTTGCCTGTAAAAAGTGTAGTTTTTAAATATATAAAATATTTTATGCATTTCTTGGGGAGCAAGTTTTTTTTCCAAACTGAGACAGCCACAAAGTAAATTGGCATATCACAATAATCTGGCATCGGCATTGAATCCAGTGATACAAAAATGAATTTTCTAAACACATCACAAGAAAAGTCATCGTACATTAAACATTTGTGAGTGAGTCAATTTCAAGCTGGGATTTCACTGGAAAAAGTTCAACATACCATAACATTGGGTTTAGAACATCCATTTTTGTTTCCCTGCAATCCGCTATGATTATTTTGATATGCCAATTTACTTTGTGGCTGTCTCAGTTTAGCAAAAAACTTGTTCCCCAAAAGGTGCAAGAAATATTTTATATTTTAAAAACTCCGCTTTTTACAGACAAAACAATTACATATTTAAAATTGGCACACAAATATACATAAACTCACCAGGTTTTGTCAAAATCGATCAAGAAACTAAAAAAAAGAATTGAAGTGTCATGTAGCCTCTCCCCATAAAGGCGCACTAAAGTCATATAATCATTTACATCATAGTGAAAGCTCAATGTATGACATCTAAAGTGACAATGTTATAAACAGCAGTGCCCTACTTATCAATAAACTAAGGTAAATGCACAAGAAAACATGCGCCGCAGTAGGACATTCTCAAAATGATCCCGATGACGTCAGTCGAACTGCGTACAATTAATCACTAGTAATTGATCTCGCTCTACTAAACAAAGAACCTAGCTATCTATCTAGCTGCACTAAACAAGAACGCAATAAAATGCTGCTTGCTCATTTCAGTTTGATTCATAAAAAAAAGAGCCACCGGACGTTACTATGCGGAATGACACAAGTGGTTAAAAAATTAAATTTTCGCATGGTTAAACTGGACAGGCCGTGCCATCTAGCGGGGCCTCATTGAACCAAAACACGTCTGCCATCTTGAAGCCAATGACAGGAAATTGATCAAGGGCCGTTGTTGCAGCCGGGCAACATAGTGCACGGCAACAGTGGCGTTACACAGTCTGCTTCTTGAGGCGGGTAATTTGAAGCGCGCTAACCCAATGCGGACCACTAAAACATAATTTTATTTCAAAATGTGCTTTTCCTTGGCACAAAAGTACCATACCACTATTTCAACAATCAAAGTCAACGTAATAGTTGCCTTTAGTGTCCCTTTAAGCAGGACATTAAAGCCATCCCTGTAAAATTCCACCTACACTTGCACACTATCACACACTGACACCACTGGTCTTAGCCTTGAAACAGTTCTTCAGTCTATGATGGGAATAATAATAATAATAATAATAATAATAATAATAATAATAATAATAATAATAATAATAATAATAATAATAATACTTTATCGTACACATCCACAACAAATAGAAAGAAACGGGCCTGTCTATGAATACTTGTGCAACTAGGCCCGGCAGAGCCGGTTTACAGCGACGTGGCTACAAGGCCACAGAAACTATCTTTGTTTCTTTGTGCTAACAAACTACAAGATTAATACCATTGCTTTTCTTACAGGCGATAAATAGAAGAGGAGAACTAAGGAGGGACTAAGAGCACATATGATGTACAAGTAGACCATGGCCATGTTATAGCTCAGAGAGTAATTGCTTTTTGAACCAGCTGAAAAAAGAAGCTCTTCAGGTAGTTTATTGCAAATTTTGGGAATATATACATTTGTACACGCTTCTCCACATGTGGAATAAAATCGCCGTACAGCAAAACCTTTTTTTTCTCTCAACGGTCGACAAGCAACATATGGATGTATCTTAGAACAACTGTTTTTGTATACAAATCCTGGAACCCAAAAAAACCTAAATCATAAATAATAGTATTGGCATCTACCTTACTACCGTATGCAACACTTTTTAGAATATTTTGGAGCAAACTGTCTACATGTGTTTTCCAGCACTCTGAGCAAAATCCGAAAACTGTAATATATCTCACAGCACTATATGCTAGAGAATGAACTATCATTTTTTTTCACTGGCAGAGGCACCAAGCTCTTTATGTTGAAAAGCAGACATACCACACTTCTCAGTTTAGAACACATAAATGCCATGTGCTATTGCCAAGACTGTGAAGAAGTATGCATAAGTATCTGAATGTCTCAACATTTTCTACTCCAGTACATTTGCATGAATTTCTATGCTCGGTGTGAAGAAAAATCAACAAAAAATGGGCAACGAATACCGCGCGTGGGCTCCATACACATTCTCGACCTCCTAATCGAGGCCACTGGCTGCCATGCATGAACAATAACACACATCACAGCAAAAACGAAAAACATGCTCCGACTGATTCAGTGAGTCTCGGGCCGCTGACGAGGCCTTAGAGAGGCCAACCTTCTGCGTATACCGTATTTACTCGTGTAATCCTCGCACCCCCCACATCTCCCAAGAAAAAATTTTTTCCTCGAGTAATTATCGCACCCCCGAAAACTGCTGCAATAATGTCGTCTGCTTGTTCCAGCCAGCGATGTTAATAGCATGCGCCGTCTGGCGCCATCTCTTAAGCATAAAGCGTACTATTACACGGAGATTCAATCCAATCCAAGCCAATCCGAAGTGGCCAGTGCGCGTTGCGGCGTGTTTTGTATGTTGTGTCGGTAATCTTGGCACGTTATGGGGCCATACTGAAGTCACACGGCTGCTTCAAGTTGCAAGTGATAGATCATGCGCTAAACAACGGCAACAGGGCCGCCGGTAGGCCCTTCGGAGCCTACGAGTTTTGTGTTCGCTACTGGTGACGGCAGCTGAAAGCCACCAAGACGCGTTGGGCCCGCCGTGTGCCTAAAAGTGGGATTTATGGTAAACTTTATTTCTTCAGAAGGAAACTGCGGACGATTCTGTTAAATAGCCATCAGCCCAATACTGACGTCCTACGCTTCCATTTTAGGCATGCACAACAACATCGATGAAGTGATCGAGGCCCAGACAACAGCCCAAGTGATCTGCCTTTCCTCCTCCAAGGCAGGCCACCAACTTCTAAGCAAGGCTGGCATGTCCCCACATTCCTACCTTGAACGCACAGTAACCCTCCCCAGAGCTGTCTGAGCTACCTACATGGTGAACCCATTTCCGCGAAATATTCCCCCACAACACAACAAAGGCGCCTGGCCCGCACTCGCGCGGTCCTCAACTACACCGTTGCGAATCGCAACTCTACCGTCTTCGTCGATGGGGCGCAATACAATAACTCCTTCACCTTCGCACTAGTGGTAGTAGATAGCGACGAAGCCCTACGCTAGCTGCCTCGGTTAGGCTAGCAACGAGCGCCATAGCTGAGCAGGTTGCTATAGCTTTAGCGATGGTCGACCCCTCACACACACGAGTCTTCACAGACTCTTGAGCCGCCATTCGAGCTTACGAAAGTGGCAACATCGCTCGAAACCAGCCCACATTCTACAAACACGCTAATGCATAGGCTTGCACTACCTGTCTTGGTTTCCTGGCCACATGGGCAAAGAGGTCCACCCACAGCAACAAAACCTTAACGAAATGGCTCATGATCGAGCGCGAGAACTGACTCGCCGCGACGATCAATCAGCCACCAAAGAGCTGGGCCCAGACATACAGTTTAATGATCCTTTACTCACCTTTCACGAAATTATCTCCTACCACCAAAACGATAGAAGCCAATACCCTTTACCAAATGCAAAGCTCGAACGCGCCGAAGAGGTAGCTTTTCCCATGCTACAAATGAGATCGTACCCATCACGGGGCCGACTCAGCTGTTACAACTCGGGCATAGATTCACAATGCCCAGACTGCTCAGAAGTGTACTGTTCACTTGAACACATGCTCTGGCAACGTCCTGTGTTACCTCGAGAACCTCTCAACAGTGAGTCTGACTGAAAAGAGGCACTCGGGAACCCCAGTCTCAGAAAGCAACAAAAGGCAGTCCAAAGGGCCCAAGAACTGGCGGAACGCCACCACGTTCCCGCTCCGACTCGGGCGTCGCCTACAGTAGCGGCTGCTAGAATGTCCCTTGTGGACAGCCTGGTGGCTTAAACTCCTCAGGACCATTTAATAAAGTTCTTGACTGACTATCCATCTTTATTATTTTTAGAGGACTTCAGGAACAGATCAGTTTAGTTTTCTGTGTTTACAATTAAGCAATTTTTTTCAACCTATAGCGTGGGGTTCAATTGCATTCTGAAGAGCATTAATCGCTTCTTCATAACGTATGTGACGCCTTAATAGCACCGTATCATCCGCCTACTGATAAACATTAGCTTTACAAATTCCCGAGGGAATCCATAAATAAATTGAATAACAATGGTGACAGCAACAATCTTTGCAGCCCACCTACTGTAATATATTTTCTATAGCTTACTATTTCTATGCCTCCAGCGGCTGGAGGCATAGGCAAATTTTGAATGCAACTGTTAGATTGCACTGCCGTTAACTCTATGTCACGGCCTATTCCAGGCCACCAAAACAATGATCGCGCCACTGTTTTCATTGCCAAGAGCCTTGGTGGGTCTCAAGCAGTAATTGTAACAAACGCTTCCAGGCAGCGACAGGTATGACGACTCGATGTCCCCAGTAGACGACTTCGTGTGCCAGAGATAGCTCCAACTGACGATCAGCAAAAGGAACTAAGGAAGGGTCAAACCGTCCTGCGCCTTTCGGTTATTCCGTGCAACACGTTGTGTTCTACATGAGCTAAGATTGAGTCATCGGCAGTTAGGTTCTTAAGCTCGCATGTTGTGACTGTCGCTTCATCTAGACTTTAAAAAAAAAAATATAGGTACTCTTGAGGTACAGGTTCCGTAGTGGGATCTGTGCACTGCAGTGGCAGTCTGCTCAGCGCATCCGCATTCAGTAGCTGCCTTCCTAGAGCATATTGTAGCTTGTAGCGGTAACCTCACAGGTACACGGCCCACCGTTGGATG